GCCGCTGCGTTAACCCTGTGCCAACAATTCATCTTTCGCCGGCCTTCTTCCTTCACTCTGATTTGTACCTACGTTTAAAGGGACACAGGACTACTGCAGAAACATGGCACAAGCGGTTAGGTCATACCTCGCAAGAAGCTCTTAACAACTCGATTAAAGCCGCGGGTTTCGACAAGGACCCGAAAACCTTGGGCAAGCGGGCCAGTGTAACATTTCACCCACATTGTTAGATATAGGAAGTGTCAATGAAATATAACGTGAGAATATAAGGTCGCTATTGCAATGAAGGCACGAGGTTATATAGGGGTTGGCTTGCTAGGGCGATAACCTCGGAATGTGGGTAGGTTCGGCAATGTGGCGACAGTGCCGGACGCGACGCGGGGAAGGGTTGGGCCGATAAATGAGGCCGAATGGGACGAATCAAGGAGTTCGGGTGTACGCGCTAGCGTATGACTCAGTAATGAATGGAAATTCCTTACACTACCTAAACAAGGCCGCGGACATCGGAAACATTCCGACGCTGATAATACGCTGTTAGAATCGGGAGTGATTCTATATCAGCGAGGGGCACCCAGCTGTCATCCTCAAACGTCCGATCATGCCATCTGACGAGGAAATCCACCATTCAACAGTTTTGCTGCGTTGTGACTCGATGGCCGAGAATCTTTAGGGGCTCGGTCGTCGGATCCTGCAGGTGCGTCAGCTGCGGTACGATGCGTTGACGTGCCAATTCCGACGAACTGGGAACGTAGCGTCGTAGTAGGCTGATGTGGAAAGCCGGGTGGTGGCGCCAATCAGCCGGTAGTCGAAGGTGAGCTGTGACAGGTGTCACCATATTGGTCGCTTGAAAAGGGCCAAAGAAGCGGGGTCGAAGTTTGCTTGGGATCGGCAGGCACACGTTGCGAGTGTCGAGTAGTACGAGATCTCCCACTTTGTAAGTGACGTCACGTCGATGGCGATCGGCTTGTCGGCTTGCGACCAGGTTGGCTTGCCAGATTGCCTCAGCTGCTTTTTCTCGGGCTGCGAGGATGTCTTAGGCAAATTGCTGGGACCGTGGCACGGGTGTCTCGATGTTCGGTGTAGAGGGTACCACCGGGTCCTGTCCGTAATTGAGGAAAATGGGGATTGATGGGTTGTTGCGGAAGGCGCGTTACTATATGCAAATTCCAGCTGCAGAAGGGATTTCTCCCATGTCTGTGGGTCCGTGCAAGTAGTCCGAATGAGTTGCTCCATAGTTTGGTTGTCTCGTTCAGTCTGCCCATCAATCTGTGGGTGGTAGGCTGAGCAAAACTGTAGTTTGGTGTCGAATTGGTCCCATAGGTGGCGCCAGAAATTCGATGTGAATTTCGGGTCTCAGTATGAAATAATGGCGGTGGGCATTCCGTGCAGTCTGATGATGTTGGCGATGAACAGTTGGGCAGTTTGCTCAGCTGTAATTTTTTGTTGGCAGGCGATGAAGTGAGCCATTTTCGTGAGTCGGTCAACGAACACGAGGATGGCATCGTTTCCGCTGAGACCGGTTGGCAGTCCTGTCACGTAGTCCATCGTGACATGTTGCCAGGGTCTCTCGGGCGATCTTCAGTTTGTCAAATGCAGCTTGCGGCTTTTCTCCCTACCAAAACCAATCGTGATCCTTGAGTCAGTCAGTTAGCGGGGCAGATAACCCAGCCATATTGGGTATAAATCTGCGGACATAGTTGACGAAACCCAAAAAACTTTGCAGCTCCTTGATGTTGCTTGTCGGCTTCCATTCCTGGATACTCTTGATTTTCTTGGGGTCGATTTTCACTCCTTCGGTCGAGACGATGTGGCCCAGAAATTCCAACTCCAACTTAAGAAAGTTGCACTTAGACCCTTCGGTGATGAGGAGATTCTTGTGCAGCAGCGTGAAGACTGCACCAAGATCCTGTAAGTGCTGCTCCCTACTGCGGATGTAGATTAATATATCGTCGAGGTAGATGTTGAGTTCCTAGAAAATTCCATTCATGGTGATTTGGAATGTCGAGGGCGTGCTCGTGAGGCCAAAAGGCATCACCAGGTACTCTTAGCTGCCGTATCGCATACAGAATGCCGTCTTATGACAATCTTCGGCGGCGACGCGAATCTGATGGTAACCCCCTCGCAAATCAATTTTCAAGAAAAACTTGGCGCTGCGAAGTTGGTCGAGAAGTTTGTCGTCTCGCGGGATCGGGTAACGCGACTTGATGGTGATTCGGTTGAGCGCTCGATAGTCAATAAACATTCTAAATCCTCCATCCTTCTTCGGTGTGAACGGTTTTAGGGCGGCGTAAGGTGACGTGCTGGGCCGGATAAATCCCTTCATGAGTAGGTAATCCAGCTGCTGCTGTAATTCTTCCAGTTCTGGTTGGTTGAGCCGAAATTGGCGCTGTACCCGTCGGTTGGGTGCCTGGTTTTAGCTTGATTCAGGTCCTCAGGTCGGCTCAGCGGGAGTCTGAGAAGATCTCTGGGTATTTCCGAATCAAGTCCGCTAAGTCCGGAGGAACGGCCTTGCACAACTTCTCGATATCTTTGTTCTCGACCGTCGATGTCACCTTGCAAAGATGAATGACGTACGCTGCAGCTCCAGCCTTCATCGCGCGCTTGAAAGTGATCGCATGGACTTGGGTGCTTTGCATGAGAGGCCCCGTCCACTTGGGCAGCTCGCGGGAAATCCCATCGAGCTTGATGCTGCAGCCGTCCGTCGTACAGTCAATCTTCGGGTTGTACCGTCGCAACCAATCATGTCCAAGCAGTACGTCGGACCCGGCGAGAGTAGTTGCCAGTAGTCCCATCTGAAATTTTACATGCTCCCCACAGGTAAAACCAACATTCTCCACTTGTTCCCGTATTGCCAACGGTGTTCCGTCCACCACTCGGGCATCGATTTCTAGTAGACACTTGAGTAATGGTATACCCAATTTTTATCCCTGTCCAGTTGTATGAGACTGTGACTAGCGCCTCCATCAACGAAGATCTTCAATAACACCCCGTTGTCTTTTCCCTCCTCCAACACAGGGTGATCAGCAGTTTCGTCCCCCTTATTCATCGGGGTCCGGTCGATTGCAGCAATCGGGATCACGACCCGGTGAGACTGTGTGGTTCGGACGAAGAAGCCTGCCCGTCAGTAAGGGGCCCGATACTTACTGACGCGACCCATTTCCCGGTCGCTCCTCTGGCTTCTTCCCCATAGAATTTTGGAGGGCTATGAATTCTTTGCAGTTGCGTCGGATGTGACCTAGCCGACCACAATGGTAGCATAGCTCCGTATTTTGCGGAGCAATTGCGTCAATATCCACTGCTTCCACCCCTTTTATTGTGGCGCGCTGGTACTGTTCTCAAGGGCGACCTCCGTCGTAGAAGTTCGTCCTTGGCTTCGTGATCAAATAAGTGGCTTCGGCGAGCTGGATGTAGTCTTGTAACCACTTCGGAGGGCGTTGCAATTTTATCTGCTACTGTATTTCAGGCTTACTATCTACACTATCTATCGATAATCGACTTACTGAAATGCTAAGTATGAATCATATCATAACAATAAGATCAGATTTTAGAGCGGTGTGAGATAAGATACCCCCCTTCCCCCTTATTTTCCCGTATTTTCCCACCACATTGGTAGGAGGGGGCAATGCATGTAATGCAAGGGGTGAAGAAATATGTAAAACAACAAATCCACTTAGTTTCCATTGTAGACATCACAAAATTCCCTTTTTTTTTTTTACAAATCATATAGGGGAGGCATTAGGTGCCGAGCCCTCTGACACTCCACATCCACATTTCTCTGCTTAAAGCAACCCCATTACAGCAACTAAACCCGAGCATTACACCCTCGCTGTACTTTTGAATCACCACAACAGTTCCTTTATAAGACAATTTTCCATTGATAAGAAACACACAACCCCCCCCCTTCCTCATTTTGTTCCGTTTATAAGCAACTTTCCAGTTTTTTTACCCCGTTATATGATAAGACATTGCGTTCTTATATCCGGTATTTTACGGTATCGGCTAATGTTCTGCAAGGCTGGCGACTTGGTGTAGTCGTTCCTATATCTGCTGGTGTGCCGTATTTTTGGGTGCGCCTCGGAGGGTTTTTTTGTTGTGGCAGTCCTCCCGTCGATTGGACGATTCCCCTAGTCTTTTAATAGGGCAGTGAGCTGCCCTATTAACAATTCAACGGCCAGAACTGCAGGACCCCTCGTGCTTTGCTGCGCTGCTCAGTAGGTACTGCCTAGAAGGTATTGCTGAGACTACCAGCTGTAAATTGGCTGCCCCCATAGTCGCTAAGGCTGGGTAGGTAAATATTGAAGTCTAGTTCAACATAGGCAACCGCACAATCAGTACTCGAACGATCAAGAGAGGGTAGCCAATAGGAAGATCAGAAGGCCACCTCCCTGACCTGATGTATACGTGTACCCACGTTTGGCACGTCTGGTTTCGTGAACTGTAGCACGTCCCTTGGAATCTTGCGCCAAACTAGCCGGGCCGCTAGCACGGCGGACGCGGTGGCTTGCTTGCCAAATCTACGGGCTTGGTTCGGTTCGGCAGGGGTTTCGGTGGTGCGCCGAATTTGCTTTGGGCTATTTGGACTAGACAATTCTGGGTACGCTAGAGACTGCCCTATTTGTTCCAATAGCAGAAGACTAACCCTGTTCCAGCACCACTGATTGATTACCGGGTGGATAAATCCGTGCTCTACTTGGTACTTAGTCGATGCCAAGTGGCTTGGATTGTGTGACTCGTCATATTATCCCCTGGGAAGTGCATTTGATGCTGGGCTGCCCTACGTTTTACAGGAAATAGTTTCCACCAGTCTCTGCGGCTGGTTTGGTGGCGCCATTCGGCAGCTTGATCGCGATTCGCGGTGTAGCACGCTCCCTTTCCATCCGGAGGTGCACTCCTTCCTCGGTTGGTGAAGCTTGGGGGGTTTTGTTTGATTTGAAGAGTTCGGTTCGTACGTACGCTCCCAAGCCCCGACCGACCTGTTCCAGCGGGCAGGCCTCCCTCCCATCCTTACCACACCAACCACCATCCCCCAACTGAACCGCTCTCCCCAGATCGAGCACCAATTTGGCTGCCTCACCTCACCCCCGTCCATCCAGGCTCGAGCCACTGCTGTGACTATTCCCGCTACTCGCTCAACCTAGGCTTTATTCCGTACTTTCTATGAAACCCGTCTAGCACGACACAGCAGAGTAGAAAGAGGCAACAGGCTTGAGTTATAGCGAAGACTAACCGACAATCTTACTCTTATTCCAGCAAGCATCGCTACTATTTAACTACAGTGTTCGGTTTCTAGCGAAAGTTTCATAGTTTCGTCAGTCTCGAAGTGTCGTCTATTCCCTCGCGCTCGCGACATTGCCGTGCTTTTAAAGACCGCGGTCAATCGTCAAGTCGCAACCATGTCCACGCGGCTCGTGCTGCTGCTAGCGAGCGTCTCGCTTCTCGTTCTTCTCTCGAGTACGTTAAGAAACGCATTACTTCCCGTTTCCGCCAGTTTTCCTGCTCTCCGTGTTCTTCCGCCGTTGTTCTGTCGACCTTTCCCCCTCGTCCTGACGCCCCTGTTCTGCCGCCCCTTGTTCTGCGCCCCTCGTTCCTAAGCTCCCTCTCTTCTTACCTCCCGACCACTCCCTCCCCTATCGCTGTCGCTTTTGTTCCTCAACTCCTTCTCCCCTCCCCCTTCCTCTCCCTACCCTCTCCTTCCCCCACCCGTCCCCACCCCCCCCGCCCACTCCCCCTGCCCCATCGCAATTCCACCTTCCCAACCATCGTCGCGTTTCCTCGTCGGATTGCTCTGCACCTCTCCGTTGACGCTACCGCCTCCGTTTTCTCGTGCCATCCTCTCTCCTCTCTCGCTCACGTCCCGCCGCTTCTTATTCTAAACTCCCCCTTTGCCCATTCTTTACTTCCCCCGAGAGGCAATTCCTTCCCCCTTCCCCCCGTCACAACCCCCTCTCCATCACGCGTTCCTCTTGTCCGACGCTACCGCTTCCTCTCGTCCGTGCCGTCCTCTCTCCTCTCACTCCCTCTCCCGCACTGCCACTCTCGTTTCTAACCTCCCTCTCTGCTCCCTCCCCCCCTCCCCCCTCCCCCTCCCCCCCCGGTTACGCATTTCCCCTCCCCCATCTTCCCCCCCCCTCCTCCCCCCCAATCCCCGCCCTCATCACTCCGTCTATCGTTCCGATCGCCGTCGCGTTGCGCGCCGGATTGCTCGGCCGCACCGACGCTATCTCCGCCCGTCATTCCTTCTACCGCCTCCACTTCACCGTGCCATCCGCTCTTGCTCGCTCCCGCGCCGCCGCTCTCGTTCTCGGCGCCGCTATGCGCGTTCCTCGCGTCGTCGCGTCCCCTCAACCTCCTCCCCTCGCCTTCATTCAGGTGTCGCGCAAGTAGAGGTGAGAAGCGCCCTCTCCGATTTCCTGTTTGCTTGGTTGTAAGAAACCTTGTTACAGTCGTCGCGCAAGTGGAAGTGAGCAGCGCGCCCTCCGATATCCTGCTCTGCTCGTCAGTTATTCGTTCTTCGACCCTTTTTTTTTAGAATGAAGACGAAGTTCCCGTATCCCCGCTCACCTCTGCCCCCTCACCTCCGCTTCCCTTGCCTGCGCCTACCCCCTCCCCTGCGCCTATCCCCCTTGTCTCCGCTTATCCCTCTCACCCGCGCGTACCCGCTCGCCTTCCACTCCGCTCTCAAACGATTCTGTCACGTGGTGCTGCTTATAGTGCTTTTCCCCATTCCGCGTCTGTGCGCGCGACCATCAGTATGCGCGCGAACATCAGTATGCGCGCGAACATCAGTATGCGCGCGAACATCAGTATGCGCGCGAACATCTGTGTGCGCGAGACCATCTGTGTGCGCGAGACCATCTGTGTGCGCGCGACCATCTGTGTGCGCGCGACCATCTGTGTGCGCGAGACCATCTGTGCGCGCAACCATCTGTGTGCGCGCGACCATCTGTGTGCGGGCGACCATCTGTGTGCGCGCGACCATCTGTGTGCGCGAGACCATCTGTGCGCGCAACCATCTGTGTGCGCGCGACCATCAGTACTCTGATCCGCGCCTCAGTTAAACCTAGAATCGACTGGCGCCACCCCCCTCTCAATCCCCCCTCCCCTTTCCACCTTGCTTCCCTTCCCCGGCTCCTGAATAACTAGTAAAACTTTTCATTCTTACTGCCGTCTCTTTTCCACGGGCAGGCGAAAACATTTATCGTCGGCGGTAGCATGACCTGGAACCCATGGAGCACGAGGACGAGGAAATGGAAGGGCCCCAACAAAGTTAGAAAAGGCGACACCCTAGGTGAGTCTGTTTTTTCCCCTTTTGTGACCAAGACATGGCACTGCCAGAACAATACCCAAAGTATACAAGTGGAATGATAGGCTGCGCGCCAAGTCCAAAGCATGGACACGCCAGAACAGCGCCCCAAGTACACAAGAGGAATACAAGTATAGACCAGGCGTGTATACATGATGACTGCAACATGTATACAAATAAGGCCAGGTGTGGAGCTCTGAGGTGACTAAAAAATCGGCTCTGTGCTGTGGTAAAAACTGATCCCTTCAGTCTCTTCCCCCTTATCTCCCCCCTCTACCCCCCCCCCCCCCCCTCTCTTCTCTTCTCTGTTCCGTTCCGTCCCGTCCCTCTCATCCCATTCCTTTCCTGCAGTGTTCAAGTGGCGGCAGAAGTCGAATGTGATTGCGCAAGAGGACGGTATGAACCCCTTTGCAGCCTACTTCTACTACAAGTGCTCCTGGGACACTGCAGACCTCACCCTGCACACCGTCGTCTCAGAACCCAAGTCCTCGGGATCCGTCAAGTTCACCATCCCCAAGGATGCAGTGGGCATGCACTACTTTTTCTACAGTAATGTTGGCAACTCCTGCAAGAAAGGCCAGAAGTACGAAACGCCGATTATCTTTTGAGAGGGGTGCGTGGGAGGGGCCGCGAGCAGACGTATGGAATTCTTGCTGCTCGACTTGGACTCGTGAGCTGGTAGGAGGCATGCCTGCCTGACCGGACAGAAGTGGTTGGTGTGCAGTGCAGCGTATTATATCTGAGCGTCTGTATGATTCTGATGGTGTACTATCTCTAGGTAGGTGATATTCTGATTCCTGAGATCGCGAGAAGCCGTTTCAGGAATCAGGATGCTTAGGTGGAGGGCTGGAGGTGGCAATGCTAGGGAAAGTTGTTTGAGTGGGTGGGTGGATTGTGCATGCAAGTTTGATTATGGATTGTGAAAGCTTGCTTAGGTTAGGTCCTCTTGTCAAGGCTCTGTGCTTCATTTCATCTGGGCACTGCTTTATTTAATCTAAGCAACATACATGGTTCTCGTCCAACAAAGAACTACCGTATTCTCCTGGATATAGTACCGGTATCAGTACCCGAGGGAGTGTTGGAAATACCTCGAGGACTTCAGCGTTTCTGAAGTGTAACACTACACTCGAGAAAAGTCTTATTGAGTACGCGAGTCAACAGAGGTTACACGAGGACGTTGGACGAAAGAATACGAAAGGACGAAGGGACTTGAAGGGTCGCAACTGGAGGTTGCTGTCAACTTATACATATTATCTATGTAGAAGTTATAGGCTAGACTGAGGTATGCTTCTAGTGAGTACAACCAACTAGTATTTGTTCTAGGTTTCCACCTCTAGTAATCATTCGTTTCTACGTTAACATGGTATCACGCTTAGGTTAGGATCCCCCCGCCTACCGCTTCCGCCCGTCGCGCCTCCTAGGCCCCGTCGCGCCCCCTAGGCCCCGTCGCGCCCCCCCTGGGCCCCGTCGCGCACGTTAGGCCCCGTCGCGCCCCCCCTGGGCCCCGTCGTGCCCGCTGGGCCCCGTCGCGCCTCCTAGGCCCCGTCGCGCTCCCCCTGGGCCCCGTCGCGCCCGCTGGGCCCCGTCGCGACCCCTAGGCCCTAACGCGCCCCCGCTGGGCCCCGTTGCGCCTCCTAGGCCCCGTCGCGCCCCCCATGGGCCCCGTCGAGCCCGCTGAGCCCCGTCGTGCCTCCTAGGAATCGTCGCGCCTCCTAAGCCCCGTCGCGTCCCCCCCCTCTGGGCCCCGTCGCGCCCGTTCGTCCCCGTCGCGCCCCTCCTAGGCCCCGTCGCGCCCGCTGGGCCCCTTCGCGCTTCCTAGGCCCCGTCGCGCCTGCTAGGCCCCGTCGCGCCCCCCCTGGGCCCCGTCGCGCCCGTTAGGCCCCGTCGCGGCCCCCCTGGGCCCCGTCGTGCCCGCTGGTCCCCGTCGCGCCTCCTCGGCCCCGTCGCGCCCCCCCTGGGCCCCGTCGTGCCCGCTGGGCCCCGTCGCGCCCCTTAGGCCCCGTCGCGCCCGCTGGCCCCTGTCGCGCCTGCTGTTAGCGCTCGCCCGCCTGGCCTCCTCCTAGTGCCGCTCGGCCTCCTCCTAGTGCCGCCCGGCCTCCTCCTAGTGCCGCCCGGCCCCTTCCTAGCGCCGCCCGGCCTCTCCTCAGCGCTGCCCGGCCCCTCCTCGTGCCCGACCGGCCCCAGCAGCACCAGCCTGGCCCCTCCCAGCACCAGCCCGGCCCCAGAGCACCTGCCCGCCTCCCCTGCTCGGCCTGCCGTGTCCTCTCGGGCCCTGTGTCTTCTGCTCGCCTGCGCTGGGACGCCTAGCTGCTGCCCTACTGGAGAGTGCTGCCGCCGTGTCCCCGCGCCGCTGTGCTCCTGTGCCGCTGAGGAGCTGTGCTGCTGTGCCGCTGTGTCGCTGAGGAGCTGTGCCGCTGACCCTGCACGATGGCTGACTTTGTGCTCCGCCTGGACGCTGAGGGCCACGCGGTTGACTTCGCCGCCTGGCTCTCCGATCTCCGCCGCCAGCTTACAGGTCAGCGCCAGGATGGCCACTCTCTGGTTGTCCATGCTGATGGCTTGCTCCCCCATCCCCCTGCACCTACTCCCCTCCCTGCTGACCCCTCCTCTGATGACCGTGAGGCTTTCTCTACTGCTGCGCTGGCCTGTGCGGTCTGGGACTCACGCGATGCAGTAGCTCAGGTTGCTATTAGTCACGCCCTCCCTGTGTCTGAGCGCTCGCGTTTTGCTACTGTTGAAACGGCCAAAGCTTATTTAGACGCCGTTATTGCTCGCTATTCCACCCCTGCCTCCGCTTCTGCTGGCTGCTTGCTCTTTCCGATGCTGTTCCCAGACCTGGCTGCCTTCCCTACTGTCGCAGATTTTGCCACTCATTTGCGTGCCCTAGAGACTCGCTATCGCACTGCCAGCACTGCTGCCCAGCTCACTGCGCTCCCCCCTCCTTTCTGCATGACGCTCTATTTTATCGCTATGCGCCTGCCAGACCGCCTCGCTAGTGCTCGCGACCACTTTCTCAGCCAGCACCCGGGTGACCTCACCCTGACCGCCTTTGTCGACACCCTCACTGAGATCGAGACTCGCCAGCGCACTATCGCTCAGTCGAGCGGTGCGCCGGCAGTCTCTATCTTTCACGGCTGTGCCCCATCCCAGTGCACGTTCACTGACGTTTCGGCTGCGGTCGCCACGGCGACCCCTCTTACCGAGACGGCTGCTGCTGTCCACCCGCAGCAGCGCTCGCGTCGCGGTGGCCGTGGCCGCCAGGGAGGTAGGGGTGGCGATGCAGGTGGTAGTGGTCGTGGTGGTGGTGACGGTAGTCCGCCTGAGGGGACTACCACCGGTGGGCAGGAGCAGCAGCCCCAGCAGCAGCAGGACCAGCCCCAGCCGCAGCCGCCGTCCCAGCAGCACCCGCCGCAGCCGTGGGCTCGTCTCCCGCCTGGTTGGCCCGGCACCTCCGGAGGCGGTGGCCGTGGTGGCGGCCCGCGCAGCTTGGCGTCTACCAGCGGCTCCAGTGCTGTGACCTGCCAGTACCAGCTTCAGACCGGGCCTCTCCGCGGCACTCTGTGCCGCCGCCCGCACCCGACCGCCCGCTGTTTCCGCCGCCTCGACGATCTTTTTCGTCGTCGCTTTGGCCCGGCCCCGGACCTCCCTGACTGGCACAGCCTGCTCCGCCAGGGCGTGCCGATCTTTGAGTTAGATATGGATCAGATAGGTGCTGCTTTGCATGCTTTGTATGCTGACGCTTCTAGTGTTGCTGGATCTTACTACCCTGTGTACTCTAGTTTAGGTGTTTCACCCTTGTGTAGCTTAGCTTCCCCTGCTGCGACAGGCGTAGGACTGCCTAGGTTGCCTAGTCTAGTCGCTGCACCGGCTCCGTCCCTGGCCTCCGCCACTGCGTCGCTGTCCTTCACTCTCGACTCTGGTGCTTCTGCCTGCTTCTTCCGCGACCGTTCCACGCTCACGCCGCTTGCTGCACCTGCTGTTGTCTCTCTCGCTGACCCCTCTGCGGGTCCGGTCGTCGCGCGCAGTTCTACGTCCCTTCCCTGTCCGGCAGTTCCCTCGGGCTCCCTTACTGGCCTTCACGTTCCCTCGTTCTCCAGGAACCTGGTTGGTGTCGGCTGTCTCCAGGACCTCGGCGTCACCACCACGTTCCCCGGGCACGAGCGGTTCGCTGTCTGTTCTGAGGCTGTCTCAGGTTCCCCCCTTGCGACGTTCCCCCGGGACCCGGTGTCCGGTCTGTTTACCCTACACACCGCTTCCCCCCCGGTTGGTGCGTCCTCCCAGGTCGCTGCAGCTTGCTCGTGTCGGTCCCTCACTCACCCCTCCCTTCTCTGGCACCACCGCTTAGGTCACCCTGCTCTCCCGCGTCTGCGTCACATGTCCCAGCACGGTCTTGTCTTAGGTCTCCCCGCGTCGCTCCCTACCCTTCCTCCCTCGACTGCGCCACCGTGCACGCCTTGCGTCGAGGGTCGGCTCCGCCGTGCTCCTCACTCCTCCTCGCTGCGTCCTGCTACTGCCCCCCTTCAGACCCTGCACTTGGACGTTTGGGGCCCTGCCCCCGTCCCCGGACCGCGCGGTGAGCGCTACTTCCTTGTGCTCGTCGACGACTACACGCGCTACACCACGGTGTTTCCCCTGGAGCGGAAGGCCGACGTGCCCGACGTTCTTCTCCCGTGGGTTGTGGCTGCGCGTCTCCACCGCGGTCTCCCCGTGTTGTGTCTCCACTCCGACCGTGGCGGCGAGTTCGCCTCTGGTCGGCTTGGACAGTTCTGTCGTGCGGAGGGCATCACCCAGTCGTACACGTTGCCGGACTCGCCACAGCAGAATGGGGTTGCTGAGCGCCGCATCGGCTTGGTCATGGAGGTCGCCCGTACCTCCATGATCCATGCCGATGCCCCCCATTTTCTGTGGCCGTTCGCTGTTCGCTACGCGGCTCACCAGCTTAACCTGTGGCCACGCTCCCAGCGGCGGCAGGTCTCGCCGACCCTCCTTTGGACCGGGTCCCCCGGTGACGCGTCTGCGTTCCACGTCTGGGGCTGCCTTGCTCACGTTCGTGCCTCTGGCACGGACAAGCTCACTGCCCGCACTGTCCCCTGTGTCTTCCTCGGTTTCCCCCTGGACTCGTCTGACTGGCTTTTCTACCACCCGCCGTCTCACCGCTTCCTCCACTCTCGTGACGTCACCTTTGACGAGTCCGTCTCCTTCTACCGCCGTTTCCCTCACCGAGGTCTCCCAGTTGCCCCCCCGCTTTTCCTTGTTCCCTCTCCCCCGGTAGCCCCTGCCCCTCTCCAGCCTCGTCCTGCCCCGTCTGGTGTCTCCCACGTCACTCCCCTCCCGTCGGTTGTCCCCGTTGAGGAGTCTGCTGACTCTGGTGGTACCCCCGGTCCGTCCTTGCCGCGTCCCCCTTCCCCGGTGCCTCCGCCCCCACTGTCGCAGTCGCCGACCCCACTGCCGCCGCCGTCGCCGTCGCCGCCGCAGCCGTCGCCGCTGTCGTCGCCGCCGCCGCCGCTGTCGCTGCCGCAGCCTTCGCCGCTGTCGCCGCCGCCGCAGCCGTTGCCGCCACTGCCGACGCTGCTCTCGGCCCCTGGGGGTGCTGGTGTGGAGGAGGGTGTTCGTCCTGCGGCTTCTGGGGGTGCCGCTGGTGTTGGAGGGGGTTCTCGCTCTGGGGGTGTTGGTTCTGGGGGTGCTGCTGTTGAGTGTTCTGCCGACGGTCGTTCTGCCTCTGCTGGTCCGAGAGTTCCGGCCCAGCCGTCGTCGCCGCCGCAGCAGCCGTCGCCGCCGGTTTCCGCTCTCCGCCTGCTCGGCCTTCCCTCCCCGGACCGCGCGCCGGTGTCTCCCCCACCGCCTCCTGACCTTCCTGTCTACGGTCCTGTGTTCCCGCCGCCAGACTCGTCTCCGGCCCGTCTTCCTCCTCGTTCCCCTCCTGTGTCTCCTCCGCTGTCCCCTGACCCTACCCCTCCGTCTCACGTTTGGGCTCGCCGTCCCTCCCGTGCTCGTCCCGTCTCTCCTGTCCTG